TGTGGACAGCGAGGAGGCAGGGAACGGTGAGCAGGCACTGCCCCAGGAGAGCCAGCCTTCCAGCAGGGAGTCCCTGGGGCTGGCCCGGGCGGCCAAGGCTGGGCTCAGGCTCCGGGGCTCCTGAGTATTCCTAGCTAACTGACCCGTGCAGCCCCTCCCTCTCTGAGCCTCGGTTCCCACCTGCATGGTGGGGCTGTCATAGCTCACCCAGGCCGCCTCTTAGGGGCGCTGTAGGGCCTGGGGGATAACCTCTGAGCAAACCTCGAACAGCCACGCCAGGTAGACCTGCTGCCAGAATATATTTCTTAGCTTGCATAAGCTCCACCCACGGGCCGCCTCCTGGTGGCCATTAACCCCACCAGGCCAGGAGCCCCACACCTCGGGACCTGACCCAGGACAGGGTCCGCACATCTCTGCTCAATCAACCTGGCCTAGCATCTCCCAGCACCTGGCAGGTTGGGGAGGCACCACAGGGCCTGCTGTTCTCAAGATAGCCTATACTGGCCACCAAGGAAGTGACCTCCTCGATCCTGAGCCCCAGAACTCTCCAGGGCCCACGGCTGCCCTGTTCCCGAGGCTTCCGCCTGCCCCAGGGCCACTCTCTGCAAGGGCGGCTGTGGCACGGCGGGTGGACGTGTGTCCAGGAGCAGACACTCGCTTGGCAACGAGCTCTGCCTCAGCGGCTCGAGGGGCCTGAGGAGGGGGTCACTCCCCATGTGCCAAGTGCTTTAATGCCACAGAACTGCGACAGAGAGCAGGGGACTGCCGGACTCTGCAAAGAACCCCCAGCCCCTTCGGAGAGCTCTCCGGGCTGGTGGAGAGCCCCGAGGCTGGAAGTCCGGCGGCACCATGGACCTGCTGCACGGCTCTGGGCAGGCATTTACCACCCCTCACCCAGGCCTGAGCTCCCCGCCAGCAGAACAGGGGTGGGGCGCACTGGAGCCGAGGATCTAACACCACTGGGCATCAGAGTCACCTGAGGGGCTTTAAGACCGCCAGAGCCCAGGCCCACACCGGGAAAGTCTAACTTAAATCCGGCGTGAGGTGGGCATATGGGCTGGAGTTACAGCCTCCAGGTGGGTCCAGTGTGAAGCCACACTGGCGACCGCTGCACCAGGTTAGGAAGAACACACCGCAGCACAGGTGCCTCTCCTCCTCGTGGTGGGGCAGGCGTTCGCCATCATTCCCTGCACCCTCCACGAACCCCAGCCGCGCCTCGGATTTGCTGTTCCTGGGTGCTCTGCGGGCCACTAGCAGTGAGTTCAAGGCGGCCTACAGGGTACAGCCAGCTCGCCCTCCCTGCGAGAGACGACAGCTAAGGGACGCTCTGCCTCCAAAACCCACGGCCCTAGCTTTCCACAAGGAATCGTCTTCTGCAAGAAGTTGAATCCTCGACAACATTTCAGAGCAGAGTCTATCTTCAGCTTCTCCTGAGACTGGCTGTGTCTACACTCGGAAAGCAGCTGGGAAGGACAGCAGAAGCGTCAGTCCCTGCCGGGAGAGCTGGTGTCCCGACTCCAGGGTGCATGACGGGAGCCCCACCCTATGCTGAATGCAGTCCCTGCCGGGAGAGCTGGTGTCCCGACTCCAGGGTGCACGACAGGAGCCCCACCTATGCTGAATGCCCTCGTGAGAGTGTGATCTGTTCTTTACATGGGTTCATTTCTCCTCGCAATCCGTGTGTGTTTCTCCACCTGACTCAGAGGAAGACGTGAGAGTTTGCATCGGGCTCCCCGGAGGTGAGTAAGAATCAGGTTAAACCCTGCCCTGCCCCGTCCCACCTGGCAGCCCTGCGCGCTGGCCATGGCAGTGGAGCTCTGATCTGATCCCAGGGGCCCTGATGTGGGGTGAGTAGGCTCACAGGTGCCCGTCTACCTCACAGGGGTGTGCCCAGGGGCCTTCACTGCCCTAAAGCCCGAGGGTCTGGGGTCTCTTCTGTCCACAGTCATGGAAGGGGTGCTGGAGTGGGGACATCGGCAAGGGCAGGTGGTTCTGACATGGCTGTGGCATGAGGGGGACCCACCAGGAGGGTTGTGTGTCCTACACTCCCCTCCCCGCTGCCCTGTCCTGGGGCCCGATGTCCCCTCCCACAGCTCTCCTGGCCCCGAGAAGGATGACACTGACTTGGCCACTCAGGCTACGTTCCCAGAGAAACTGTGACACTGAGCAGGGCGTGGGCAAGGAGGAGAGGTGGAGCAGGAAGCTCTGCTCAGAGTAGCTGGGATGGGGACCCCACTGGGCCCTCGTCACTGGAGGATGGCATGAGTGGCCAGAGGTGCAGGGAGAGCTGGGGCCAGGAGCAGGACGTGGGCACACCGCACCCCTACCTCCCTGACTGCAGGCCAGCGCCGGCCCACAGAGAGAAGGCCAGGCCTGCATGCACCCTGAGATTTCCTACTAGTGAAAAGAAACAGGTGAAATTAATCTCAATTATATACTTTATTTAACTTTATCATTTCACTATGGAATCTATGTAAAAATTACTAATTCTGTATACTCTGTCATGCTACATCTCAGAAATCCAGTGTGGTTTTAAACCTACAGCTCTTCTCAGCTTGGACGGGCCATATTGCAAGCTCTCCGTAGCCCCCTGTGGCTGGCGGCCCCCGAGGTGGACAACACTGTTCTAGACCTGGCTCACGTGTCCCTTCTGCTTGGACAGTCCCCCTTGCACAGCCAGGCCCTCTTCACAAGCTTGTCCATGAAGCCCCAGCCAGGGAAGCTCACTCCCACCCCAGAACCCCTGGACCCTGAGCTTGTCCCATGACATGGTGCTCTGCCTGGGCTGGAGAACTATAGGGTCGATGTCCCCATTGGGGGGGACCCCTGGGATCTCCCCAACCCATGCTTCCTCCACAGGGGCCCTTGAATACTCTGGAGAAATGTGTGTTGAAATGAAATGAGGGTATGTTTGCATGTTTTAGGAGATTTTCTTAGGATGGCTCCTTCAAACATTTAAGAAAGCCATGGCGACAGCAGTGGGCAGTGGGGTCGTAGCAGTAGGGACTGGGGGTTACACACCCCTGTATTGGACGACAACGGTCTCCATCACTGTAGCTTTCTTCTCCCTGGTAATGTGCTGCTTCATCCCTAAAAGGGAACAGTTCGTAATATCGTAAAACTCTAATGCCCCCTCAGATCCATTTTGGAGGGAGGCTATCGACTTGTGACTCTCTCATCCATTTACTGAAAACTGTATTTCCTGGCTATTAGAGAATCAAGCTGTAATCAAAAAAATAAAGCAAAAAAATCAAAAAAGGAAATTTTGTGGGAAATGAAATTAAGCCAGGAAAAACCAATAGTTAAAGCTGCGCCGGTGGCTTTTCCTCCCTGAGGGCTCTGCCCACCTCATGTAGCTCCGCGGCTCCTGGTCCTCTGGGACCCGGGGAGGAGCGCTCTCTGTATTCCTACCAGGTCCTGATACCAGTCCCTCGGGGCAGTGCTGTGGGTGCTGCTAGTCAGTCCGGAGGGAGGGAGGGATGAGGAGGGTAGAAACCACAGAGGTCATCGCCAGGCTGGTAGCCACGTGTTCTCATGGTCCGTGTGCCTTTAACTCTCACAACACTGCACTCCCTTCTGGGGCCAGGAGAGGCCAGTCACTGTCCAAGGTCACACAGCAGGGTGAGCTGGCCTTGGCCCAGGGAGCTATGCTGCGAACCACTCTGCTACCGCCACCAGCAGAGGAAGCAGCGAGCCACAGAGGCAGGAAGGCACCCTAGAGTCGGGTGTCGGGGGAGCAGTGGGGCTGGCTGGGGAAGCAGGCGCGCGTTGCTCCGAGAGACAGAGGGCACTCTCCGGGGCTGCAGAACGGAGCTGCGGTGGAAGTTACAGCAACTCTGCGCTGACCGTCCAGGCTGGGGAGCCTGGGCGCTGGGCTGTCCTGTCCTGCGCTCAGAGGGCAGCAGGTTCCCAACCACTGCCACAATGTCCCTCTGTCTCTCTCCTCTCTCTGTTCCTCTGGGCTCCCGGATGGGGGCCCGGGATTAGGGTCACGCTGATGTGATTTGGAAATGGAGTGGGGAGTCTTTCACATTCAGGCTTCACCCGCATAGGGACAGACAGGAGGGGCAGGCAGCACTGTCCACGGGCCGCCCTCCCTGAGACAGGCACGATGCTGGTGACAGCCAGGCGGGGCTGCCTTCCAGGCCGGGCAGCCGAGATTGTGGGGGAAGCTGGGGAGGCTGAGCTGTGTTTTCAGTGTCTTATTCTCTCTCTCCACACACAACCACAACCCTGCACAGATCCACCTTTTCAGATTCAATGAAAACTTCCACATCCACTCCTAACAGGACATCAAAGTTCTTTTTATTGCCAACTTCGCAAATAGTTATGCCACTTTGGATACAAAGTTTGTGGGATTTCTTTTCTCTTCAGTTTGCAAAAACTGATTGAATGATGTGGTTTTTTTTCTTCTTTCTTTTCTAGCTAACGTGGGGAAGCGTTGCAGCTCAGACAGGTGGGCTTGGGAAACGCACCGGCCCAGGGCATGGCTCAGGGCTGGGAGCTGGGGAGAGCGTGACAGCCTCGCATCACCTGTCCTGACAGTGGAGACCCCAGCGGGTAGGACAGGTGGCCCCCTGGCTGGGCACAGAGCATGCTCCCTGCACCCTGGCAGGTGACAGGTGACTCTGCAGTTGACCATCAGGCTGGGGAGCCTGGCGCCGGGCTGTCCTGTCCTGCGCTCAGAGGCAGTAGGTGCCCAACCACTGCCCACCATCGCTTCCCTCTGTCTCTTCCCTTCTCCGTTCCTCTGGGCCGCAGGTTGGGGGCCCCGGATAAGGGTCACGCTGATGCGATTTGGAAATGGAGTGGGAGAGTCTTTCACACCCTTTGGATCCTGAGTTTAATCCAACTAATCCCAAGCTAAAGAGGAAAAGCATGGGAATCTTCCTTTTCACCAAACCTGCAAGTTCATCCTCACTCCCGACACTCCCCGCGGAGGAACGTGTGGCCGGGGGAGGCCGCGACTGAGAAAGGGCGCTGGGCCCCGCTGTGCTCACCTGGTGATCACGTAGGGCGCAAAGCACACGAGGAAGGTCCCTATGAAGGTGCTGATCTTCTTGGTGGCTCGCTGCCGCCTCCGCTTCTGCTCCTCCAGACAGCGCTCCCGCACGCTGCGTGGGAGAGAGGGGAGAAGGTGACTGACAGGTGGCCTGGCAAGGCAGACAGGAGCGCTACGGCAGGACACCGGCAGTGGCCTCTAGCGTGGGAACCCAGCTGTGGAGCCAGAAAGACCTCAGGTCTGTAGCTGTTGACCTTGGGCAAGCTGAGTGACATTGCTGAGCCTCCAGGTCATCATTTGTGACATAATAATATACATTGCGTATTTCATGTATATACTTTAATACTGTATTATGTGTAATCTAACAAAACACTGCAAAGGGCTGTTTTGAGCATTAAATGCACAAAGCACATACATGCGTGAATGCATTCAACGCACAAAACACATACAGCAACTGGCATGGTGCCCAAGTCGGTGCAGATGAATATTAACTCACTGTTACACGTGTCATTGCCCGACCACAGGCTGTGCCTCTGCCGTGCCACACGCTCTAAGTAGCGTCTCTACCTCATTACCACGGTCCATCACGCCAGGTGCATGCAAACCGCCAGGTGGTTTTTACCAGCGTGGCCTACGGTGAAAACTGCGTTCTGGAGTTGGAACGATCTGCCGGCTGGCGAGTGGAGGCAGGATGCGAACCCGTGAGTGTGACTCCAAGCTGGTCCTTCTCACCGGGGGCAGCCTGGACTATGCGTGTGGCGTGTGGCCCGGGCTTCCTCTCCTCCACATCCTCAGCCTGCGGCTTCCATCCCAAAGCCTCACCCCTGCCTGGGGCTACAGACTTCACATGCTGCGGTCATGGAAGGAGGAGTCACTTGATCCCTCCAGAGCCCACGCGTGAGGGAGCTAAGAGACTCCTGAGTCCCCCCTACCCCCCGTGGAATCGGGGACACAGCTTCGAGGTGGGGTCAGGAGCCATCTGTGCTTCCAACCACACCCTCTCCCTGACACCAACGCCTCTGACCACACCTGTTCCTGCTCCGCTCTGCTCCAGACCTTCCTAGAGCCTCCGGGCGCACAGGGAGGAAGACAGTGGACACAGCTGCCCGGGAAGTGAAGGCCACTTGGCCGAGCCAGGCCTGGGCAGCAGAGACCTGGCTCTGAAAACAGGCCGCTCTGTTCAACAGCAGCAAGCGACGGGGAGAATATTCATGAGCCAGGTTGGTGCATGTCGCTAATGCCAGGACAGCCTTCCCTTCCTGCCAGGAGAACCGTCCTTTTAATACTTAATCAAAACTCCTCTTCATCAGATTTCCTGTCACAGGTGGACAATTTCACATTCGATGGGATTGAAGGCTCCTGAAATTCTTGCGGGATTTTTTTCCCCCCCTTGACTTCCACCTTTCCAGGAATTTAAAGAGTCAGGAACTGGAGCCAGGCTTGGTACAAATAGGTTTCATCCTGGCTGAAACTGTGTTACTCGTGACGAGTATTACTAATTAATTTCTAAAAACTAATAACAACCCACATTTCCTGAGTCGCTAATATATGCCATGTTAGGGACTGTGATGGGGGTTGACATTATTTATTTATTTGATGCAGCATCTCTGTGAGCTGGGGGCTGCTATCACTATGGTCCCCATTTTTCAGACAAGGAGAACCTTGCCTGGGATCACGTGGTTGGTAAATAGTGGTGTATGGTGACCAGTTTGTCCCCATTTATCTGGGAGTGTCTCTGTTTAGCAATGAGAGTCCCACATCCCGAACAGTTTTTGCAGGGACTGTCCCAATTTTGAAAGGGAAAGTCCCACATCTGAGAGTCCCCCTCTGTCCCAGGCAAAACCAGGACAGTTGGTCACCAAAGGGGATGGCAGGATCTGAACCCAGGCTGCCTGGCTCTGGAGCCTTGGGTATCAGTACCAGCCAGCGTGTGCCATCACTGGCTCCGAGGGAGGTGTCATCTCACCCAGAAAATTTGAAGCATACAGCTGGGGGCACGAAGGAACCGAGGAATGACGTTGCCTAAGGTTACAGAGCAAGAGTAGGTCTTAAATCTCCTGCCTTTCCCATTACACCTGGGTTTCTGCAAAGTTGTCTCCCAAAGTCCTCTGGTGCATGTGACAGGTGATGCAGGTGGGGAGGGCATACGTCCCCACCTGGAGGTCTGGGTGCAGTGAGATGACCAACTCAACTGTCCTGGTGTTAAAACTCAAAGTTCTGCAGCCTGGAACCCCCCCTCCCCCAGTCCCAGGCAAACCAGGACAACGGTACACCTAGGGTGCAGTGTGTTGGCATTATTCTCCACATCAGAGGCCTGTCCATTTTAATATTAACAAATTTCCCCTAAAACTTTCAGTGCAACGATGTGAGAGGTGCTGGAGACTCCGTACACGAGCCAGGTGTCCTGAGGCAGCAGAGGACACGGCCCCCCGAAACAAGCAGGGCATTCTGGGCATCCCCAAAATGTGGGCACTAAATTCATATTCAAAAACATATTTTTTAAATGAGTCTTAAAAACCCCAAGGCTATCACGCAAAGCAAAGACAGTCCTCGGAGGTAAAGCCGTGAGAATGTCAGCTGGCCTGCCCTCCCTTTTTGGTTAATAGCCTAGTGGGTAGGCATGATGCGCCAGAGCCAGATTCAAGGTCCAAATCTAGGCACCAGCACTTGATCGCTGTGTAGCCTTTGGCAAGTTACACAGCCTCCCTGTGCATTGGGTTTATCGTAGGGTCGTACCGAGATGAACAGAGCTAATATATGAAAAGCACCGAGAACAGCGTCTGACTCAGAGTAAGCACTCAGTAAATGTTAACCATTATTATTATTCATTCAGCATGCATTTACTGAACAAATACTATGTTCCAGTGTTGCCTTGAACTCCAAAACCACAGAGCTCCCGCCCCCTGAAAAACCTCTTCCTGCCCGATGCACTATGAGAGAGACGCTGTCACCAGACTGCATCAGAGGTACAGGAAGAATAAACGGGGCATCAGGAGGGTGGAGTTGAAGTCCTGACTCTCGTACTGGCTGTGTGGCCCCTTGGGGACACTGGACCTTAACAGCAGCTGGCGTGCCGTGGACACAGAGGGTGTGTGCAGGGTGGATACTGCACCTGGGGTTTGCACCACGTGGCCGGTCACGTCTCTGCTCTGGGACAGACCAGCTAGTCTCCACAGCCACGTACAGTACGAAAGGTCTGCACGTGCACTCACCCCAGCTCACAGATGGGGAAACTGAGGCTCAAAGAAGAGAGGGACTTGCCCACCCAGAGAGTGGGGTGCAGGGGGGCTAGCACCCAGCCATTGACTCCCAGGCTAGTGCTTCTAGTTGGGAACCTCATCACTCCTTCCCTGATCTCCCCAGCCGGGGGCTCTGCTTTCCAGGTGAGAAGAGGGAGGAGGCAGGAGGTGTGTGAGGCAGGGCATCCCAGGCTCTGAGCGAAGCGGCACAGCCCCCTCTCTTATCATGATTATTGTTTTAGCACAGTATGCACTGCTCCCCGAGCACCACATTGGAAAACTTGCTTTGCACTTGCTGTCATTTCCCCACCACCACTACTACCACCACCACGGCTTTGCAAAACTGAGCTCCTTGAAATCTTGCAGCCCTGCCAGCTGCTGTTTGCTTATTTGCAAATGAGAACACCATGGGGCCAGAAAGGTGTACAACATGCCCAAGGGTACACAGTGAGTTTGGGACACAACCAGGCCTTATCCCAGGGCTCCTTACTCTGAGTTCCGGGGTGGTTCCCCTATGCACCCCCCCCACCCTTGCCTCCCATAGAATCACTGGGTGATGAGCATTCTCAAACGTCCCTGGGCCCCGGGGGTGGCACCCGGAGTCCTTGGACTCTCAGGCAGACTCTGTGACACAGAGGGTGAGAGGCCCAACGCTGCCCCAAGAAGACCTGGCCAGGCGCATTCAGCCAGAGTGTGCTCGTGTGTGCTGGTGGGGTGGGGGCGGTTCCCAAGACCGTGACAGGACAGTTTCCTTGACACAAAAGAAGACAGGCTCTCCAGCACCGTGCATGTGGCGTGGAAGAGATGACCTCCGTGGGCTCCAGTACACAGAGCAAAGGAGATGGCGAATTCTGGGAACATGTGAAGAGTCAGTGAACCCGGTGATCTCAGCTAAAACCTCCCCGGCACAGACAGCTCCCTGCCCTCTGCAAGGGGTCAGGGTCCAGAATGACCTCCAGGTGACTGCAGTCCACCCTGAGCCCATGCTCCGAGTACTCAGGGGACCCGGATTTGTTTTCTGGCTTTTAAAGCAAGAGAACAAGCTGACGATGGTGGGTCAGGACAGTGGTGTGAACAGTCCTGTCCTCAAATCCAGTGAGAGGGGTCCCTGCCCTGGGCCCTGCACATAAAGGGGTCCAGACCCCACCCCCCCCCCGATGAAATGAACAGTTAGTTCATAGGGCCAAGGGGATGTGCCCACTCAGAGCCCCCTCCTTCCATTCTAGATCAATTTTTAAGTGCCTGGAACATAGAATTCTTTGTTCAAATACCCTCATCCTGCTACCAAAACGTGTGCAGGCGTCTCCCCTGGCCCCATAGCCTAGGGTGGAATATGCCACCTGTGCTCACGGCTCCAGGCCTGAAGGGTGGTGTTTGTGAGCAGCGTGTGCACAGAGAGTGAAGGCACAACTGCCACGACGTGCACCTCGTGCAAGGGAGGCCTGCAGCGCTGTGTCGTTAGGGCCGGGGCCTCGAGGCAGGTGGGCCAGCGCAGCCGTCCCCTGAGTGCACGGGGCTGACTCCCAAAGAGTCCGGGAATTCTGAATTTGAACCCAGCCTTGCAGGCCATGATGAACGTATACTTGCCAAGGCAGGAGGTGGAACTATTTAACATTCTGTGAGCTTAATTTAGAATTAAACATCTCTGGATGGTTTGTGAGCCTCCATTTGCGCTACTGCCCCATCCGCAGGCCTTAGGGGCAGACCTGGGCGTGAGCACTGGCTTGAGCCGCTTTCCAGCTCTGCTGGATTAGGCGAGGGCCGCTCCCCCCTGGTCTCCCAGTTCCCTCACGTGTAAGTCAAGGGCGCAGTGAAGCTGCCATCTGCTGCGCCACGATTCTGACACCCCCCAGCCTGGCGCTCAGCCAGCGCCTAGGGACATTGTTCCCGGGATGTCGAGGAGACGCTGGGAGGTCTGGCAGAGCCTCAGGGGTCCCCAGAGGAAGCTCCAGTGAGGCTGGGCACGATTTCCATGCTGAGTCCTTTTCATCAACACTCTGCTTCTGCTGAATCACTAACAGAGCTGGTGAGCGGCGACCTCAGCCAGACCGGGGAGCACAGGGCGCTGCCTCCCTGCCCACTGCTCCACCCGGCCTGGCACTGCCAGCGAGGGCCTGGCTGTGACTGGTCCCGAGTGTGATTTGGGAGGGCCGAACGTGTGCACGGAGCAGGTGGAGGACCAGGCATGTAACAGCTATGAGAACCTCCAAGCTGCTTCAGAAATGTAGTAACCCAAGAAAGCACCACAGTAACGCAGGCATGGGCAATGCCGCCCAGGGGCCCAGACTTAATTCAGAAGAGAGGGTCCCTGTGGTTTGGGAGGCCTGCTACACACCGTGCTGCACACCCTGCAGGAAGAGCGGCACCACTGGACAGCTTCCTGACAAATGCCACCCTGGATCTCCAAAACAGGTCCCTTTTAATCAAGTCCCAGGAGGCCATCAGTGTGGTGTCAGTGAGCAGAGACTCCACCTGCTTCCTGGCTGACCGGAGGGACAAGCCGGCTTCTGCTGCCCCAGGACCAGCACCGCTGAGTGGCACAGGCTCTCAGCACAAATGGCCAGGAGGCTTAGTACCTGAGGCTGGGGGCACCAGGGCAGCCCCAGAGCGAGCTCTGCACTTACTCATTTGTAGGGAGGAAGAGCTTGGAGCTGCCACGACAGAAGTTGGTGGACCGGCTATCCGTCCCATGTGGCTGATCCTCCCCACTAGGTGCGGACCACCCCCTCAGAAAAGGGCAAGTTTGTGCTCACCAAAGGGGCAGGGCTGTCACACCGGCCACCATTCTACAACCTCAGGGAGCTCCACCCAGGGCAGCCCCTGCCCCAAAAGCCCTTCCTCTCTCCAAAGACTGCCTGGAGGCCCCCGGGGCGCTGGGAGCAGGGGCTGCTCAAAGCAGCCTGGGGCTGAGAAGAGGTCAGCGTCCTTCCAGAGGGATTGGGGAGGAGATTGGAGGTGAGCTGAGCAGCTGCCTCTGCTCCTGAGACCCCGGGACCCCGATCTGGCATTTCGCCTGGAGTCAGCCAGAGGAATTTGCAAGAGTGGGGCCAGCCCCACATCCATCCGGAAGGGGCTGAGAAGGAACACGGCCCCTCCTTTTCTGGAAGTTGGAGGAAGAGCAGGGATGAGGTTTGTACTGGTCTAAAAAAGAACTGATTCCTTTCCCAGCTCAACCCTCCTCCAATGTTAGACTCATGGTGAGAGGGCCCACTGCAGGAATCACTAACATCCTGGGAGTTAATGCCTTCTGCCCTGCGCCTTCTAAGAGCGGTCCCAGCCCAAGCCCTAGGGATGCACCCTCCAAAGGGAGACCTGCCACCCCTAGGTGATGGGAAGGGAAATAGCTCTGTAATTGCAGCTGCAAGTATTTCCTTGAATGACAATGAACCATACACTAATACATGCAGTGAGAGCCAACGTATGTCTTTGTGTCAGAGTGCAGGCATGCCACTCTGACATACCGTGTACATGTGGCCAGCTGTCTGGTACACATGCAGGTCATACATGAACACATGAGATTATGTGTGTGTGGAGCTCCCTCACTTACACGCCCCAGTGTCTGTGTGCTCTCAGTCATTCACATGTACATTTTGTTTTTTTGTTTTTGGTTTTTTTTTTTTCACATGTACATTTTGTATGTGATTCTGTGGGGAAGATTCTGTGGCTAGAAGATTGGGTCCAGTGTATTGCCAGGAATAGCTGTTCAGAGGGGGACCATGAACACATGCATGCATGCCCTTCTGCATGCAGCAGAGTGAGGTTCAAACACTGCTTGTTATTGATCACAGGTAGGAAAAACTCAGAGCTGAAGGAGCCCTAGCTCAGAATGACACCTCCGGCCTGTCCCCTTCAGTTCTGGAGGAGGACACACACCCTAGCAATGCACCGAGCTCTCTCCTCTACCCTAGGCTCCCTGGGTTCCCAGGGTTCTGCTCACATGGAAGGCCCTAGCTCCCCAGCTGGTGCTCTGGGCTTGCCTTGCCTTCCATACTGTCTGGACCAGTGCCCCTTATCTAAAGCCCCAGGTGACAGAGGGGAACCTGCCCTTCCCTGGGACAACAACAGGATATAAAATAGCAGAGTTCACAGAGACACCACCAGCCATTTCCCTGCTCACTTTCCTGTTCTCCTAAGGAAAGCCGAGGTGAGCTCAGGACAGCTCAGCTAAGAGTCCCCTCCTTCTCTTCCTGAGAGGCTCCTGGGGACGGCAGGGGTTGACAGCAGGGGTTCCCAGCGGGCAACTCATGCTCCACCTCCAACTGCCCTCCCAAGAAACAGCAGACAGCGCGAGGATGGAGGTTGGGGGCAGGCTTAGTCCCAGGAGCCTCAGGGTGACACTCCTACAGGGGCTCCTGGGCGCCACGTGTGAGCGGCACTGGACAGTGCTCTCTGGGGGGGACAGAAACGCCTGAACTCTGCAAACCCACCACCGAGTCCCTCTGGATGCTCACAGGGTGGAGGGAGGCAGTGCAGACCCCGGAGAGCAGACGGGCGAAGCAGCAGCGGCGGCTTGAAGAGCTCTTAAGGAGCATCTGAAGCACCAAGGCCACCCTCTCATGGAGCCCTGATCAATTTTTCAAATGTCTTAAACACTGAACAAGAACCACTGCCTCCCCATGTGCCGTTTAAACTGAAAACTACAAACATAAAATGAGTATAAAGTTCTGACTCTCTGTGACTTCTATCCTGAGCTTACATGGTTTTGTCCACATCTCCAGGGGCCCCGCTTTGCTGATGCTCTAAGGACCCGCTCAAGCCCCGTGGCCATGGCCACTCTCCCCTTCGTCTTCCCAAGAGGAAACAGCGGCTGGGTGGGGAGGAACTTCCCCAAGGCCCAACACCAAGGCGGGGGCCCTCCCACTCCCATGCCCACGCCCATGCCCCCTGCCACGTCACCGCGTCCCCCTCCACGTTCCCTGAACCCTCACTCAGGGCTCCCCTCACCTGGGGTGGATGTCCACGAGCAGCACGAGCGTCTGCATGGTGATCACGTCGATGCGCTTGCAGTGGAAGCGGGCCACCTTGAGCACCTTGAGGTACGTGCAGCAGAGCACGACGAAGGAGAGCAGGAAGCTGAGCGCGTGGAAGGCGCCAGTGAACACGGCGAAGCGCAGGCGCTCGTCCGGCCGCCGGCTGCACAGCGTGCACGAGGCGTACAGCTGGTGGAAGCCCAGCCAGGACAAGGCGAGCGCGGCGGCGGGGAAGGTGAGCGCGTGCAGCCACGTGTAGGCCACCATGAGCGCGGCGTCGCGGAGGCGCATCTTGGCCCGGTAGCTCAGCGGGAAGACCACGGCCACCCAGCGGTCGATGCTGAGCGCGGCCATGCTGAGCATGGAGTTTGCGGACAGGAAGGTGTCAAGGAAGGCAGCCAGGCGGCACAGACGGTCGCCGGCCGGCTGCCGCTGCGCCACGACGCCGGCCAGCGTGAGCGGCATGTTGACCACGGTGCACAGCAGGTTGCCGCACGTGAGGTTCAGGGTGAAGAGCGCTGGCGCCTGGCGGCGGATGTCGGCGCTGTGCAGCAGGCACAGCAGCACCAGCGCGTTGGACAGCAGCGAGACGCCCATCGTGCCCACCAGCAGCCCCGCCAGGCCCGCGTCCCACGAGTTCATGGTGCGCGCCCCCCGCCGGCGCTCAGGGCCCGCGACCGGCGGCCGGCTCAGCCCCTCGGCGCCGCCTGGCGTCCCCCGGTCCCTGTCGCCATGGCTCCCCTGGGGCGCGCTGCTGACCGGAGCCGGCCACCTTCTGGGCAGGCACCTGGTCGTGCGGCCGCCCCTGAGCCCCGCAGCACCAGTGCAGCCGGCGCTGGAGCGCCCCGAGCGAGCGCCAAGCCGGTAGCGCCCTCGGGTCCGGGACTGCGGGCACCGGTGGCCTCCGCGCTGTCGCTGCCGCTGCTTCCTCCCGCCCTCACCCCATCCCTCCACGCTGGGGCTGTCTCCGCTCCCTCGGCTCTGGCTCCGAGGCGCTCTCAGGCTTTCTCTCTGGCTCTCTCCGCCAGGCTTGCTCTCCCTCTCTGCTCTCCCCTCCACCTCTCCCTCTCCCCGCCCCCCGCGCTGTTCTCCCGTCTGTCTCTCCCACCCCCAATTCTCTCCTCCCCTCTTGTTCTTCCCCCTCCTCTTCTCTCTTTCTCTCTCCGGAATCTGGCTGCTTCTAGCACAGAAATCCCCACTGATGCGCGCGCGCGAACACACACGGGCGCACACACGCGCGCTCACACACACACACACACTCTCTCACACTCCGAGGGACCAGCCCTGAAGGCTCCCCTGTGGTGTAGGGTGATTGGCTCCCTGTGGCTGCTTGACCACTGTCCGCCGGTGTGTGTCACAGACAGGCTGAGTCAAGGAAATCTTTAAGGAAAGGGAGGGATCCCTGGCACCTTCCTGCCTCAGTGCCACCTGCCCCGGTGCGGCCAGACCTTGCAGTGGGAGTCAGGCTGCCTGTCCCACAGCTGCACCTCCCCAGGCTGATGTGCCCCTCTCTCGGCTGAGCTAGGGGAGCTCAGGTGTGCCCCTTTTGCTGAGGGGGAGAAGCCTGTCTTGCATGGCTAAGGGCGCGGCCCAGATGTCTCCCAAGACCTCCCCAGCCCTTCCTAAGAACAGCTGCTGCCTTCCTGCGGGTATCAGTTCGCAGCGCCTCCTTCCCAGCATCCTCCAGCTGGACGGACCTTCAGCAGCATCCCCAGGTTTGCCCACAGGACCCTGAGGTTCTCTGTGGCACCCTTTGTGTGCTGTCCCAGCTAGGAGAGGTCTTTATCTGACCCTAAGTGCTCCCAGCCAGGCAGGCCCACCTGTCCACAGCTAGCCTCGGCAGCGGTCCGAGTTCCTGTACTGCCCTCTCACAGTCCGCAGGCCTGCGCGCCCATCTGCCCTGCGGCTGGTGAGGTGACAGGTTCAAGGTTATGAGGGACCTGCATGACATAATGTGCCAGGACTCTTCAGAAAATGGGGAGGGTGCTGGCTGGCAGGCTTGGTCGGGGCCGCAGGGACTGGGCACACGGTCTCAGCCTCCCCTCTGGAAAGTGTGCAGGGCCCTTCTTTGCCCTATGAAGACCCTGCGGGGCAGGTGTGGGGATGTGTAGACGGGTGGCAGCCCTCAGAGCCCTTAATCCCCCTTCGCCTCTGTGAGATGCCACCTCCGCCCTGAGCACAGGCAGCCCCAGCCCGAGCCTCACGGTGTGGCCAGTGGTGACTGAACATCACTGGGTCTCAATCTATTGGATAAAGGAAGCCAGAGCAAGGATGGTGTCCCTAAGGAAACCGTTGACTCTACCCCTTGAAGGTAGAGACCTCATCATGATCCCCTCACATCATACTAAGCAGGGACAGAAGCTCATGAAGTGAGGCATCAGGTGGGCAGGGAAAAATGCCCTGTCCCCTCTGGGTGTCCACAGGTGACGCTCATTAACAGTTCTCCGAGTGACTGACAGCTGCATGCAGTGAGGCGCCGGAGCTCACACCAGCTCTCCAGGGCCCACTGTGGCATCTGTTCCAATGACAGCATGTCGGTGGCTTGAAATCCATCGTAGTGTGTTTTTGCACCATAGAAATCGGCAAACTACAAATCAAAGCTCCCTTTCCCCAGCCTCTGGCTAAACATTTACCAACACACCACTCACTGACTCCAGAGGGCCCTGGGCAAGGTACTTAAACTCCCCAGGCCTCAGTTTCCTTGTCTACCTCTCAGAGCTGTGGTGAGCAGTCGGTAAGATAACATGGATGTGGGGCTTTGCCTCCCAGAGAAGGAAACAGAACAGAATGCCAGCTGCCCCTCACCCCTCGACCCTTCAGGGTCCCTACAGATTTCAGGGCTGGCTATAGGTCTTCATTAGATACTTGGGGTATGGGATTAGAGTACACTGTTCACTTGTGTGTCTCCCCTGCTCCCAAGAAGAGGCCCCCACCACCACCAAATAGCCCCTGGCATGACATAGGTGCCTGCTAGGGTTTGAGTATGTCTCCCAGAGTTCATGCATTAGAAACTCAGTTCCCAGTGTGGCAGTGCTGGGAGCTAGTCCCACAGAGGGTGTGGGGAGGTGGTATGAGTCCTGGGGGTGCTGCCTTGACAAATGGATTAATGTCGTTATCATGGGAGTGGGTTCCTTAGGAAAGGATGTTTGGCCCCTTTCATCCTCTCCCTCTCTCTCTGTTCCTCTCTGCCCTTCTGCCTTCCACCTTGGGGTGATGCAGCAAGAAAGCCCTCGACAGATGCCGAGCACCCCCCACCCTGAGTCTTACACTTTGCAGCCTCCAGAACCATGAGTCAATACATTTCTGTTCATTATCCCAAGTCTCGGCTGTCCTGTTACAGCAGCACACCACAGACTAAGACATTGCCCGTGTACTGTTTGTTGAGTAAATGAACCAATGTTTCGGATGCACCACTGGAGCTATGATTCTTACACTTTAATGTCTATCACAGTCACCAGGTAAACCTGGGTGCTGGATAGAGATTTAGATCCCTGGGGTTTCCGAATCAATCAGAGGGTCTGAGGGTCTGCATCTTTTGTGAGCTCCTTAGGTGATTCAGATAAGGATGGTCTATGGTCACACTCTGAGGACCCTGCTCTACGAGAAGTGGTCAGAGTGGCAGCTGGATCCCTAACCATCCCTTGGCACGTGCTCCAACAAGGGCCTGATGTTCTGGCCTGGAGGCAGTCACTGAAAAATGTGCACAAACCAGTGTTTGTAAAAGCACAGGATGGAAAGCACTAATTAATATTCTCATAGCACACATTGGAGTCTACAAAGCATGTCTGAACATTATCACACTTTATTTATTCTTGCAACAATGACAGGAAGAAGAGTGCATCACTTCCCACATTTTGAAGATGGGGACACAGGGGCTCAAAGAGGTTAGGTGACAGAGTTGGTAAGGAATGAAGCCAGTACCTCTAGCTGTATGGCTTGGCTCTTTCTGCATATTCCAGTGGTCCTCAGCCACTTTCCCTAGAGGGTGGTCTGAAACTTAAAAGTATCTCAACTTTGCAACACCAAAATTTTGTTGGTGATCTGGTAACTAAGTCCAATAGCAATAAACCAATGAACACATATGCACATTATTTCAAAAATCATTTGCTTTCTGAATTCCTTCTTCCTTCTGTTTTTTTTTTTTTTTTTTTTTTGGACAAAGTCTTGCTTTGTCACCTAGGCTGGAGTGCAGTAGCATCATCATAGCTCACTGCAGCCTCAAACTCCTGGCCTCAAGTGATCCTCTTGCCTCAGCTGCCCAAATAGCTGAGACTGCAGTTATGCACCACCACACCCAGCTAATTTCTATATTTTTTGTGAAGATGGGATTTCACTACGTTTTCCAGGCTGGTCTCAAACTCCTAGCCTCAAGTGGTCCTCCTGTCTTGGCCTCTCAAAGTGCTTAAGATTACAGGCATGAGCCACTGCAACCAGCCTGCCTTCTGAATTCCTAAAGACAACACTGAAAGGTTAAAATGATGGAAAGACACTTCAGTATGATAACTCAGTCTTCTAAAGAACAGAAACTTATTTTCTTCTGGTTTTGAACAAAATGTCCTGCTCTCAGATGGGCTGATCTCCATAGTGACCACGTCTCCGGCCCCCTTGGCTGCAGTAAGGCTGAGTCTCACTGAGCACAGGTTCCAGCGTGGCCCCAGACTCCAGCAGTGAGATCACACTCATCAGGGAAGGGAGATGCATGTCCCTGTCCACGCCTTGACACAGGTCCCCACTGCCCCTTTGTGAAAGGACTCAAGGATCCAGCCACCTGATCAGGGACAACAGGGCCTGGAATTGCCTGCCAGGAGAACACACTGTGGCCAGACCTGCATGTCATGCTCCTTGGAGCAGGAGAGGAGTCAGCAGTGATGGAATGTGCATTACAGAGTTAACGTGAGTCATTAAAGGCTGTAACTGGGCCCCGAGGGAGAGCTCAACAACAGGACTACGTAGAGGCAGGCGGAGGCGCCTGTCATTGCCTGTCCTTGCAGCAGCCTTCTGGCATAGATATCCTGATTCCATCCTGACAAATGAAGGAGCTGAGACCCAGAAAGGTCAAAATCTGTTCAAGGTCACTCCAACAGACATCAATAGATAGGATAAAATAAATTGATTAAGACTGCAGAGTCAGGATTTGAATCCTCGTCTATTGGGTGTGAAAACCTTTCCACTGAGCCACTATGGTCACTACACGCATGTGCTTGAATGCACACTGCAGGGAGAGGTTGGCAACTGCAGTGGTCCTTTCCACGCTATCTTCAGGAAGAGGTGGACTATTGATATAAACAGAACAGAAACCAGAATGTCACCAACGCCCCAAGGGAGGTCCCGTAAAGACGCATGGACACGCACAGCACATCCTCTGGGGGACTCTGGATTTCTGCAAGTGGAGGAGGCCAAGCGTCTGGCATCCTGTGGGGGAGGAGATGCCTGAGCAAATGCCTACAGGCTGAAGCCTGGCACGTAACTGTGGGTCAGGAGTGGGAAGGTGGACCCGCAGAAAGGCAGGAAAGAAAGGCAATGGCAAATTCTGGATGCCAGCCGGATACAAGGCTGAGGAACAGAAAGGTCAGTCCCATCCAGACAATGGCTCTCAGGGCCGGGGACATCCACCCATCCTCGGGATACACCCCTGCCAGTCTCTCTACCTCAGCCACCGTCTCCATCTCTGAAGCATTTACACAACTGCAACTTCATGTGATTCTTGTAGAACCCTGGGAGTTCTAGGAATGGCAAACAGATGTTCTCGTGGTACAGATACACTGAGACCCCAGAGTGTATCTTTATTCTTTGCATAAAGACATGTGGCTGGTGATGGCAGACCAGGGCCTAGAACCCAGGCCCCTGACTTGCTGTCTACTGCTCTCCCTGCTTCCACCAGCACACTGGTGGTCCCTGCCCAGGGAGGCTGTTTGCACACATCCCTGCCAGCCCTCAAGCTGGGCAAACAGAGTCCACGAAACAGACTTTCCAACAGGGCTGTCGGGCCTCTGCTCACTCGCTCGTCGGTGAGCAGAAGAATTGGCTTGCTA